GGGACATATTAACAATATCAATTGAACATAAGTATTTTTACTCATAATAGATGGATGAAATTTGAGTGTCGCTATTAGTAATTCTAAAAGTATGATATTTTTCCAGCAGGATTGGTTGAAAGTCCATGCAGGCTGCAAGCATTCCAATAGACAACCATTAACAAATGAAAAACTTACAGAACTGGGGCTATGGTGCCTCAATCTGTACCTGTGAGGCGAGCTCATCAGCAGCCTGATCGCAACGTCAGACTTTCAAAGGCCCCAAAATTTCTGCTGTGCCTTTGGTCAGACCCCAAAAACTTGGGGCAAAGTTTACCAAGAAAGTAAACGGCCAAAAGTTAGGTATGTCGGAGACACACCAACAAACTACCTCCAACTCAGCTATATAGTTGGAGGCATGGCCTCTCTGGTTCCTGATTGAACTGCTTAATGGCAATGATCCCAGAGACTCAGAAATGAATCTCGGAACCCCAAAGGCTTTTGGCAGAAATGCATCCTGTTCCTGCAGTAGGTTATGGGTGCTGGGCCACTCCAGGTGGGAATAGCTTTCGGACCTTGGCCTGTTCTCACTGGCGGCCCAGTGACCGCCATCCTCCAAAGGCCACTGGACAGTCAGGTTTGGGCCTGCAGTGATGAGATACGTAGGGCATCACCAGATGGGGGTAAAGCGGCCCTTTCCTCTCCATCCCAGCGAGACCCCGAGTCGCTGCCTACAAATGGCTTCTCTGGCTCCTGATTAAGCTGATTAACAGTCATGATCCCAGAGACTCAGAAACAAATCTTGACACCCAGCGGCTTTTGGCAGAAATGCATCTGAACCGCATACAAGGTGGCTGCTGCCTCAGAGCTTATTGGAAAGCCAGGTATGAGCTGGTGGTGATGGGGCAACTGCAGTCTCATAGGAAGGGGGATGGTTCACGCCCTACCGAGGTCACGAGTTACCCCCTTCAAGTGGCTCTCCGGCACGGTCATGGATCCAGAGGCAAAAGGACTTAATCGAGAGCCCAGCAGCTTGCGGCAGAAAAGTGAATGGACCATGCATTAAACTACGGTGCCATGCCTCCTGAGGAGGGAAAGGATGTTGCTTCCTTTCGCCTTTTTCCCCCCAGCAGCAAGGTGTCCACCACCTCAGAGCCTATAGGAAAGCCAGGTATGAGCCGGCAGTGACAGGGAAACTTCAGTCTCATGGAAAAAGGGGTGGTACTGGCTCATCCTTCACGACCTACCAAGGTCGTGAGTTGCCCCCACCAGTGGCTGTCTAGCACAGCCATAACACCAGACGCATAGAAACCAAACTCGTAATTATCTGGCTCTTTGCAGAAATCCAAAATCGCATGGCCGCTATTGCGGCCGTGTGATATTTTATGATTCTCATAACCAGCTATAGAAAGCAAAGTATTTCACAATGCCTTTTCAGCAATTCTGATTGTTGAGGGGGGGATTCTAAACAATAATGGTGCATCTTTTGTCAAAATAATGAATGTAATCAATGTAGAGAAGAGTCAAGTAGAAATCATCTGCCTCACAGGCATTGGGAGGGGTTGGAGGGGGGTATATTGGGGTTCTTGGTGGTGAAAGATGAGTACTGGTGAAGGGAAAGGAGTTTGATCATTGTATGACCGAGACTTAAATTTGAAAGCTTTGTTACTTTTACCACAGTGGTTCAATAAATAAATATAAGAAGAAAAAAAAGTGCAAGAAAAAAAAAGTTACAGATCTCAGGAGTAAACAATGTGCGGCTTGTCTTTAAATTTCTCTGCTGCAACTATAATTAAAATAAAACAATAACTTTTCCATGACATATATTTATTGGCTTCAGTCATGTTCTCCCTAAGGTGCTTATTTTGAGATTAGAACTACAAATGTTTTCCTTAAAATTAGGCCACAGAAATAATTGACTTAAGTGAAATTTATTGGTGGACTCATAACCCAACAAATTCTGTGTGAGAAGTAAAATATTATTATGATGATCCATATTAAAATCACATGAGTCAATCAAATACTTTAAAAGAAAAGTAAAGAGGAGTGTTTTCTATAAGTCAGATATCAGATAGAAGCTTATTAAAGAAAATGAAAACATACACAGTACATTGTTCAATGCCATGAAATATGTCGATAGAGTAATGATGTCTAATTTTATTTTGTGTGATTTAGTACTAATATTGAGCTGTGTAACTTCAGTTACTAGTTGTCCTCCTTTGTTTACTGATATGTTTCCAAGAAATGTGGAAGAAGTCTTTCCATTTCAATCAATCAACTTCTCTTCCTTCCCCTACTTCTTTCTTAAATGAACAATTATTATTGAATTCATCAGGTTGCATCTGATTTTACTGTTATATTATTTTAAATGCCTTCTTTCCATGCATCATTTCCCAATTCTAGTGGTATCAAGGATTCTTAAGCCTGCATTTACTATTAAACAGGTTGACTATTCTGGGAAAGAAATCACACGCTTAATTATTTCTTCTTCCTGCTGGTGCAATAATGCCATCTAGAGATGTCATTGGGCATTTTCACCAATGTCTCTGAAAAATTCAAAATGAATGCAATTAGAATTCTAAAGGTGTCATTCCACGGCTGAATTTTAAAATTCTGTGAAAGTTGTTTTTCAAGCATAACTTTATATGGTAAAAATTATATATTTCATTTCTATTACGTGCTAGGAAAATGCAATTCAAACTTCATACATTTATAATCCAAAGGAGTTTGATCCTTATGGTGGAAATTAAAACAACAGATCTAAAGATAGCATTAGATTTTAGTGCACTGGGATATATTCACACAATTAAATGCTATGCTATATGGGCTTCTTATAAAGTACCTGATGTCAAACTAGAATTCAAAATTAGCATGGACCCAATAAAACCTGAGCAAATTCATTCCTAACTATGTGAATAGACTTTCCAAACAAATATTATATACATTAAACAGAGAGGGAGAGAGGGGAAAATAAAAATATTTTCATCTAAACCATATTTGCTAAAATGTCATGGAATAAGGATGCAGATCTATGGTTATCTAGCCTCAAGGCTAATTCTTGTTCTCTTCAGATCTACAGTATGATCCCAAGGCTAATCCTCTTTCTACCAAGCCACAGTCAGAAGCATTAGGGGAATCTTGCAGATTTTAAAATTGGTAAGCAGCCCTTCTTGCCTCACACTCAGAAGTATCTCCTATAAGCTTTAAATTATGCATTATTACACACCAACTGCTGAGTTCCGCTGTACTGTTTCCCTTTCAAAGACATACTATAAATAAAAATTGTAATAAAATGTGATCCAGGAAACAGCTGGTTCCTGGGATAAAGACATACAAATGACAAGGCAGTTCATTATCGTCCCCTGGATTTCAGGGCTGGGTGAACTTGCTGTTTGACAAAAGCACAGAACGGGAGTCATCAATGAATGACCCCAACTGGCAGCCTCTTTTCTGTCTCCGTAACTAAATCCGTCCATCAACCACACTCTTATTTCTATAACCAATGCTATTTGTGGAGTCACAGCTTCCCCATTAAGGCAGTAGGCTCTTGAAATAAACCAATATCTCATTCAATTCTCCAACAGTCATTCATTTATGCATAAATTTTATGTGCAGGCACTCAGCAAGTATTCCCTATTTGGGGGCTGGAGTGAAAGCACAGTGGGTAGGGAGTTTGCCTTGCATGTGGCCAACACGGGTTCGATTCCCAGTATCCCATATGGTCCCTTGAGCACTGCCAGGAGTAATTCTTGAGTGCAAAGCCAGGAGTGACCCCTGTACATCGTGGGGTGTGACCCAAAAAGAAATAAAAAATATTCCCTGTTTTTCCTTTGGTTTGGGGGCCACGCTCAGAGTTACTCAAGGCTTATTTTCTGGCTCTGTGTTCAGGTATCACTCATTGTGGAGGGTTCAGGGGACCTTAGGGGATGCCAGAGATTAAACATGGGTTGGCTACCTACAGGGACAGGGCCCCACCTGCCGTATTCTCTCCCAAGCTCCTAGCAAATACTTTGCAGTGCTCACCTTGTATTCGTGCAGAGAAGGCACGGGACTTTGAACAGAGCTTCCACCACATAATTCCAGTGGGAGTAAAAGCACAAATGAACTCTACACAGTAGGTCAGCAATAACTATGTATGAATTGAACCCTACGAGCCTAGAGATCAAACCCTTACTGATCTCTCATTGTGAATCTCTAGCAGAAAAACACACTTACTACTAATATTACTTAACTAAATAAAGCCTCCAGAGGGATGGGAACATGAGTTCCAGGAGTTACACATCCTGCTAGACTGACATAATCAAGTCAGTTCCCTGAGAGGTTGGTGGGATCTAACAGGAAGGAAGAAAGACTGAAAGATTGAGGAAAGGAAGACATGGCAAAAGAGGAAAAGAGAAAAGGGGATCTCTTTTGAATAACAACTTTAACTGGAGGGCAGAAATGAAGCATCTGACCATCAAGGAAAACAATTGATTTGTTTCGAATGGAAATAGAGTGGAAAATCAAATCCCAAGAGAAGGCACCACCCATTTTAGTCTTAAAGGGCAGTTGGATCCCACGTTAGGTGGGGCGCTGACACGGGTGAGAGACCAAAACTTGGGCAGGGCTGCGGGGACACACACATGGTGTGCTCTTAGCAATCTCATCGATCATCCAGATGTTCATTTCCTTAGGTCAGACGTGTCACATACCCAAGGGGACAACACGGCAGCTGTTCCAGCTATTGCTTTGGGGAAAACAATACCAGGAAAATGCAAATATTAGAAGAATTTCAGGAAAGAGGAGAAAATCAGAATAAGCAGAGTTGTATCACTTTAGCTCTGTTACTCACCAAGGCAAAGTCTGTGTGAGTTGTTGTCATCTCTTTCTGACATGACAGTGGAGGCTGTCCACGCATGGCATTTGCACAACAATTTTGCTGGTTTGTTTAAGTTAGTCCCGAAGAAAACAGGAATGCAAATAATGTCTATAACCTTTTGGAAAATTTCAAATTCTTAATCACTTAATCACTTAACTTCCCGTTAGTCGTCGATTTGCTCGAGCGGGCGCCAGTAACGTCTCCATTTGTCCCTGTCGCGTGCTAGTGTAGCCCAATGGTATCTCTTCGCTCCGGGAACATGGAGGGCCTCAAACCGATCGTTCATGATCTTGACAAAGAAGTCTGACCATCTGGTAGGTGGGCGGCCACGCGGTCTCTTGACATCCCGTGGAATCCAATCAGTAACAGCTCTAGTCCAACGGTCGTCTTTAAATCTCATTACGTGACCAGCCCATCTGATTTTCGACACCTTGGCATATGAGACAGCGTCCCTGATCCTTGATCGTCGACGGATGTCAGAACTCCGGATTCGTTCTCTCATTTGAGTGAAACGTGATATTCCAAGCATAGCTCTTTCTATTCTTCTTTGGGAGACCTGAATGGCGTTCTCATCTTGTTTGCGTAGGGCCCAGGTCTCTGAGGCATATGTTAATGCAGGAAGAACAGTGGAATCAAAGAGATGTGCCCGGAGCCGGAGGTTCTTCGTCCTCTTAGCTATTTCTTCGACGTTCATGAAGGCGTTCCAAGCCGCTCTCTTCCTCCTGCTCAGCTCGGGTGCCAGGTCATTTCTCATGTTGACTTCTCGACCTAGGTACACATAGCTGTTGCATTCGGAGATGGTCGTTCCATTGAGAGCGAATGGGGCGTCAGGAACAAGGCTGTTTCTCATAAACATTGTCTTCGTAAGATTCAGCTGTAGTCCTACCTTTCCACACTCACGGTCAAAGTCGGCCAGCATTTGTGCCGCTTGGCTGATGTTTGGTGTTATTAAAACAATGTCATCAGCAAAGCGGAGGTGGTGTAGTTGCCGACCATCTATCTTCACTCCCATTCCTTCCCATTCCAGTCGTCGCATGATGTTCTCGAGGGTGGCACTGAAGAGTTTCGGTGAAATGGTATCACCCTGTCGCACCCCTCTCTTGATATCAACGATCACTTCTTTGTAGAATGGTGAGATCCTGGTAGTGAATCCGCAATACAGCTCACGGAGGATCCTGATGTATTGGGCTTGAATGCCCTGATTGGCTAGGGCTTCAATGACCGCTTCCGTCTCAACAGAATCAAAGGCCTTCTTTAAATCAATGAACGTTAAGCAGAGCGGCATCTTGAACTCCCGAGAAACCTCAATGAGCTTGGTTACCGTGTGGATATGGTCGATGGTGCTGAATCCTTTGCGGAACCCGGCTTGCTCGCATGGTTGTCCTTCATCTAGTGTTCTGCCAATTCTATTCAGGATGACTCGAGTGAACAGCTTGTAGATGACAGACAATAGGCAGATCGGGCAATAGTTGCCAATGTCATGGATGTCTCCCTTCTTGAACAGTAGTACGGTCCTGCTGGTTTTCCATTGGGACGGAACCTTGCATTCAGACAGGTAGCGAGTGAAGAGCCGAGCCAGTGTATTGATGAGTACTGACGGCAGGTTCTTCAGGTGTTCAGGTCTGACCTTGTCTGGGCCGGGTGCTGTTTGCTTCTTTACCAACGAAATGGCGTGTCGGATTTCGGAAGGGAGAACGTTAGGAACGACATACCCATCCTGTGGAATTTGGTATGTCGGCAAGTGGACATGGCTATCGAAGAGATTTGAGTAGAAGTCATGGATAATCTTCTCCATTGCCGTTCTGGAGGATGTGATGGATCCATCAGGACATCGGAGGGCAGTCATCTTGGTCTTATAGTTGGCGAAGGACAGGCGGGCGTTACGAATACTTTTCCCGGCTTCTGCCGCATCTACCAGTACTTCTGCTCTTCTCTCTTTGAGGTCTTCCTTGATCGCATCTCTGCACTGCTTTGCAAGCTCGGACGTTAGCTTGCGGTTGCCTGAGGCATGCGCCAAACCACGCTGGCGAATTAGCTCAAGAGTTTTCGAAGATAGGCGACTTTTTGTGGCTATCTCTCTCTTGGCGTTCCTCGCACATTCATGGAGGTGCTGAACCAGTCGATCGTATTCCTCGTCAATGTTGTCAACAATGGCATCTTCCCTTGTTGCCGCAATAGTACCAAAGAGTTCCCAGTTGGTGGTCATTCTGGGAGTTCTCTTTTTGAACTTTGCAGCCCTTTCTCCCCGCTCTGTGAAGTAGAATTTTGCACGAAGGAGACGGTAGTCTGATCCCGTTCGAAATTTTGGGACAACAGCGACATCAGTCAGGCAAAACCGTCGATTGAATATGATGTGGTCTATTTCGTTGTGGAATCGTCCACCGGGAGACTCCCATGTCCATCGTTTAGATTCTGCCTTCTGGAACTGTGAGTTACCATGAATGGTCTTGGTCGACATGATGAACTCAGACAGTCTCTCACCCTGTTCGTTCCATTCTAGGCCATGGGTCCCAATGTGAAGTTCTTCAGCTGATCTTCTCGGTCCTATCTTGGCATTAAAATCACCCACAATGATCTTGTAGAAGGTGTGGTCTTCTTTATAGAACTTCTCTAGCTCCATGTAGAACTTCTCGATTTCTCTTTCATCATAATGAGATGTTGGTGCGTAGACAACGAAGATAGAAACTGCAGGCAGTGAGCCACATCTATTCAAATGTAAACGTCCGATTCGGGTTGTTAGGCATTCGAATGAATCAATGCTCTTGGCCAAGTTTGTGTTGACAAGGACACCGACGGCTCCAACACCTCTTTTATCGCATGTTCTGAGGAAGAATTCTTCTCCAGTGTCGAAAACGGCATGGTGAGATTCGTGCCTTCTTGTCTCGGTCAGAACAATGATGCCGTACTTGATCATTCGCGCTTGTACCATCAGGTCCTCGATGGATGCATCTGATGCTAGCGTACGTGCATTGAAAGTACAGACGATCATTTTTGTCTTCCTTCGTTGTGGCAGCCTAGGTCGGCCTTGAGATTTTGTCGGCCTTTCCTTTCTCATCCTTCTCAGTGCTGCCATGTCGGTGAAGCCTTCAGGGTCAGGTGAATGAGACCAGTTGTAGTTACTGGTTTTGGCATATCGAATACACAGCGGATAGCTTGCCAGGCTCTTCCGTGCGGGCGGAATACTCTTGGTAGCTTGCCAGTCTTTCCGAGAGTGATAGAGGCTTTTGGGGTGACCTCTAATCACCCTTGTAGGTGTTACCATATTTGAACCCTATCAAATATGGTACGACAATTCCAGAAGATGGGTATTTAGTGTCTTATCATGTCCGGAAAGCGTCCTGGAGTGTGGCGACGGCTGGGTAGTGGAAGTAGTGTCGAGAGTGGAAATCTGCCAGTGGGGTATTTATCTGGGTAGGGTGGGTCTCCTGTGCACAATTCGATCCCTGGGTGGTTGATGGAAGCAGACAGGGCAGGGTAGGGTGGGGCTCCTGATTAGAATCCCTTTGTCACCTGTGGTGGTGGGAGCAAGCAGAGAAGCTCTGTCCCTGGGTCTGCCGAGCCTGGAGTCCAAGGTCTCAGAGAGTTCCACTTATCTTGTTCTGTGGGTCTTCAGTTGTGCGTGGGTCTCGGCCGGAGCTGCCGCGCGGGTCCGGAAAGCGTCCTGGAGTGTGGCGACGGCTGGGTAGTGGAAGTAGTGTCAAATTCAAATCCACCAAATACAAATAGACCCCACCTGTTTACCAAACCTCAAGGATGATAGCGTTCAGTCTACGAGACAAAGTGGCATCAGGATACAAGTAATAAAATGCTGTTCCAGTCCAATGATAATTTAAGAATATGTTTTAGTGTATTTTCGTACTATTATAAACTACAATATCTCTGTAGTACTGTAGCACTGTCCTCCTGTTGTTCATCAATTTGTTTGAGCAGGCACCAGTAAAGTCTCCATTGTGAGACTTGTTGTTACTGTTTTTGGCATATCGGATATGTCACGAGTAGCTTGCCAGGCTTTGCTATGTGGGTTGAGATACTCTCAGTAGCTTGCCAGGCTCTCCTAGAAGGAAGGAAGAATCAAACCCAGGTCAGAAAGAATCGAACTCAGGTCAGCCACGTGCAAGGCAAACGCCCTACCTATGGTAGGTAGGGCGTTTGCCTTGCACGTGGCTGACCCACCAACCCAGGTTTGATTCCTCTGCCCCTCTCAGAGAGCCTCGCAAGCTACTGAGAGTATCTCACCTGCATGGCAAAGCCTGGCAAGCTACCCATGATGTATTCAATATGTCAAACATAGTAACAACAAGTCTCACATGGAGACGTTACTATTACTGGGTTCGTTCAAGCAAATCAATTTTAGTGTATTATAAAAGTATTGAATACTATCGTCTCACACTCCTTTGCCACACAGACACTATGGACACTTAATTTCTACAAAGCTTATAAATGGAAGACATGTAACTTGATACATATATATACACAATATGCATACATATGTGTATATATATATATATATATATATATATATATAGAACTGTATCCACAAAAAGAATCATGAACATAATGGATGTAAATAAATGTAGAATCAGGTGACAGATTTTCAAAACTACTTATAGGTATCCATAGAAAATAAATGAAAACTTTCAGTTCAAATATATAAATGTCTCGTGGTGAGGAAATATTCCAGAAGGCTAAAGTACACACGTGACACGCAGGAGCCCTGGTTCAATCGTTGACATCACATGGTCCCCAAGCACAGGTGGAAGTAAGCCCTGAGAACTGAAATGAGACTAGCAAACTCCACAGCATCACCACATGTAGTTAATCACTTCGATCAGAAAAGATATAAAATCCAGTCTAAACAGGATTTTACCAAAAGCAGGAAATCTATAATAGGATTTAATATTGGGAGTAGAAGGTATTTTTTAAGTAGTGAAGTATCAAAAATTGCTCACCTGTTTAATTAATCTATTTCTAAATCAACTGATAATATTTCTAATCTAAGATGTTTTTATTTTCACACAATGGGGTAGAAAGGGGTAAATATAAGGAAAGTCAATGCTTGGCATCTTTTTGATATATCCTTATTGTATAACATGTTTGGAAAAGTCACATATCCCATCCTTCAAACCCAGAACTATGACGCCCAAAATGTGTAAAGGGCTGGAACATAGTACAGCAGTTAAGCATGCACCAGACCTGGGTTCAATTCTTGGCACCGCATTGTCTCCTAGCACCACTGGGTATAGCTGTGGAGGCCATGGTCAGCACTGCAGCCTCAGATCCTCTCATTAAGTCACCACCAGGGGTGGTGGAGAGAACTGTGCATAGGACCCCTGATTCTCCTGAGCATTTCTTATAGATCTCCCCAGAAAGAAAGGAAGAAAGAAAGAAAGGAAGGAAGGAAGGAAGGAAGGAAGGAAGGAAGGAAGGAAGAAAGAAAGAAAGAAAGAAAGAAAGAAAGAAAGAAGGGGGAGTGAGGGAGGAATGAAGAAACAAAGCAAGGAAGGAAGGAAGGAAGGAAGGAAGGAAGGAAGGAAGGAAGGAAGGAAGGAAGCAGGGAAGTAAGGAAGAATCAAGGAAGAAAGGGAGTGAGTGAGGGAGGGAGGGAGGGAAGGAAGAAAGGGAGAAAGGGAGGGAGGGTCGGAGGGAGGGACGGAGGGAGGGAGGGAAGGAGGGAGGGAGGAAGGAAGGAAGGAAGCAGGGAAGGAAGGAAGCAGGAAAGGAAGGAAGCAGGAAAAGAAGGAAGAATCAAGGAAGAAAGGGAGGGAGGGAGGGAGGGAGGGAAGGAAGGAAGGAAGGAAGGAAGGAAGGAAGGAAGGAAGGAAGGAAGGAAGGAAGAGAAATTCCAGAGGAGGAAAAAAGGTTTCAATATCTAGCAAAAAAAATAAAAATTATAGATATAATTATCTATAATTTAAGCCCCATTTGTTTTTGTTTTTGTTGTATGTGGCATGGTGCTACTCCCAACATCAAGGGCCTAACTCTAAATTTTTCAAATCAGCCTGAACAGACTTCCCAAGGCACAAGCAGCAGAGTCATGTTCTGGATTCAAGAATGAACACAGGTACCTGCACACTGAAATGCCTCTGTTTACAGTTATCCTACCTGCCACAGTAACACAGCAGTTCACTCACACCTGGATCTGAATCCACCATGTCTCATTTCCACTGGCCTTGCCTGTCATCTCGATTTTCTTCTCTGCATTGCATGTATGAGTGAGGTCAGCTGGTATTTCTCTTTGGACAGTCCTTGGGTGATCTCCCCCAAACAAGGTTGTTTGGGGGAGATCACCCAAGGACTGTCCAAAGGTTCAGGGTTTCACTCCCAGAAACCCCTTGCCTAGCTGTACATACGAGTTGGTTCAGGGAATTGTCCTGTTATTGTGGGGTTGCTGAGGCCCAGAGATGCTGTGGTCACAGGCTTACTTGCTAGCACTCTTCAGTGGTACATACAATGCAGGATTCTAACTCAAAATACCTAGATTAAAAGCATGTGATCCAACTGTTGGAGTCATTTCCCAGTCCTTGAATCAGTATGCATGTACATGTGCATGTGCGTGTGTGTGTGTATGTGTGTGTGTGTGTGTGTGTGTGTGTGTGTGTGCATGCTAAGTGTAGTTGCCAGAACCTGTGGCACTTGACCAGAAAAAGATATACAACTGGAACATTAGAAATGCTCATTATTATTTTAAGGGAAACACAAATAAGATGACAAGGAATATAATGCCACACTGACAAGCCTGGACTGTACGAAAAAGTCAATAAACTTTTTACTTTTGTGCAGAAAATGTTGTGCATGTGTTGAGAAATCAGAAACATTCACACCCTGATGGGGTGAATCTGAACTGATTCAGCTTCTAAGGCAGAATGCATAAAGATTTCTCAAAATGGGAAAAACTACATCTACTATCTCATTGTGCAATTTTACTCCTAGACATTGTTTCTACAGAATACAATGCTTTCTTTTTCTTGAAAACTAACTAAAGAGCCAAAAATATTTTCAAGATATGTTCTAGGAAAGCAGGGCAGAAGGAATAAAAACAGGAGTATATTGACTTTCCAATTAACTCATTTATGCTATCGAGTTTGACATTCTTTCGACAATAATGTGATTTATAGCATACAACTTACAGGATTTGAACGTAACCCTCTCTATCTGCTGTTGAATATTCAAGATAAAAATGCTAAAAAGAGGCAAGAAACAAATACCTAGAGGGAGCAGGGGTGATAGTAGAGGGTTTGGGCACATGACTTACAGAGTCACCAGAAGTTCAACTCCCCCCCCCCCCCCCGCCACTTTGCCCCCTACGATCTTACCGGGATGCAGCTCATGGTATTGCACTGTGTGGCTTGTATGGTATCCAAGCACCACCTACTCCGAGGCTATCCTCAGTACCATGAGATCTGAGGAGCACTGCAACTTCGGGTCCTCATATTGAACCACTGGCCTGGTTGACCAAGACTTATCAGAACGGCCTCTTGGCCTTCTGAGCACATTTTGGATGCCACCCTCCCCCACAGCCCTATGAAACTTAACAAAAAAGTAAAACCAAACCAAATCAAAACACATAATGGAACTGAAGGAAAAGACTGTAATATTAGATAAGATACTCAAGAAAAAGTAAAAGGCCGTGCAACTGGACAAGATACTAAAGAAAAGTGACTATGTTTTAGAAGAAATGCTGGAGTTACAAGATGATAAAATAGAGCTGTGTTTTTGTTTTTGTTTTTTGTTTTTTAAATTGAATCACCTTGAGATAGGGTTACAAAACTGTTCATGGTCAGGTTTCAGTCGGTGTTTCAAGACCCATTTTTGTTTTAATGTGTAAAATCACTAGATTGAGTAGGGCTAGAAAGACACTACCACAGGCAAAGCTCTTATCCTGCATTCAGCTGACACCAACTAGCTGAATCCCCAGCACTGCATCTATTCTTCCAACCATCACCAGGAATGATCACTGAGCACAGAGCCAGGAGCAAATGCTGAGCACCA